AATTAGCGATGATATTAAGTTACATTATAGCTGAATCGAGATTCTGCTACTTTCGAAATATTTTTTTTACTACATGCATTAGAAAAAATATTTCGAATAGTGTAGACTCGCATGACTAATAACATTTCGAATGGGTTTTTTCGTGAATTTATGTAAAACAAAAGTAAAGTAAAGAGAGGAACACAATGCATTGGCAGCGATGACTAATATTTAAGTAATGCGAACAGATATACGTATTAAGATGTCTGTATGATTATATATAAAATTTATAATGACCGGTGAAGTAATATTATATCAACATAAAAAATAGTTCAGTAATGTGACAGAACACAAAAATGTAGTGGTTAGGCAACTAAGGCCTTTTTTTAACACAGGAAGGCAAACGAGCATACGGCTCATTTGATGACCAGTGACTACCACCGCCCATGATTAACCACAACACTAGAAGCATTGCAGGTATGCTGCTGGCCTTTCAAAAGGAAATATGCTCTTTTCTTGAAGATTAATGTCGTATCGGTTCGGAAATACCTAACAGTCTTTGAAAAAATATTATCAGTATCGCTCATAAAAAAAAGAGATTAAAGTGTTAATGGGTTTTCTACCTTAGATAGGAAGAAGCCCAGAAAACCAACGAGAATGCATCGGATAAATCATAAATAAGGACAAAGTAAGAAACGTATGAAAGATAGAGGTAGTCTCTTAGTTTATTGCATAAAAGACCAGGGCGTAAAGATATACTTCCTTATTTATAAAAACTAAAATCTTCTACATTATTTCGTCACTTTCATTCAAATTGGAAATTAAGCGCAAAAGAGACAAAACAGTTCAATAGCTACAATAGGTTTATGAGAGTTTTGACGTTCTTATGAATAAAGGGTTTAGATTTAAAGGAAAAAAAAAAGGACTGATATACAAAACGTTATGGTTGAAAAAGTACAGTGAACCAGTGTTCAGTAACGTCAACACATTTTTAAATATAAATTGTGACGTTCCATTTCGCATAGTATACAATAACATAACATTGAATTTGGCAACCTTGTTGTTTTTGTTACGAGGAAAACAGCCATACACAACAAAAATTGATTATTTGTGCTGAACTGCTGTTCCCATAGAAATACAATGCAAACGTTGAGCAAATATATTCACTATTAGCAAATTTTGCTCCACAACAGAATATAAACTTACATTTGATTCTATATTTTATACTATAAAATGAAACATTATTTCCGTCCATAATTGTACTAGCTTTTACCCACGATTTCGTCCATGTGACTAGGATAAAAAGTCCTCTATCGCATATGGTACTTGTTTTATGGCGTAACCAATTACTAATTTTCATAGTAATCAGTTAAGACGTTAATGTAACAAGAGATAACAAACAAACATACTTTCAAATATATAGTATTAGTAAAGAATGGGGAGCCAGTTGAAGAGAAAACAGTCATGTAATACTGTCTATTCAGTAATATGGCTTGTTTTCAAACTGTATAAACGTAATATGAATTTTCATCGACTCTCACCCATTTATCAAGATGTAATATATTCCGCGAGGCGACCTTCACCCTCTGTTTATTTGGGTCATTCGGAATAATTTCTACGTCCATATATCAATGTCAGAACTCTTAATTGAGAGAGACAGGAGCAGGCATGGGCAATCAAAGTCGGTTTTCCACATTTCTATATTTCAAGATAATGGTGATATTTTTAAACTTTAAATTTAAAATAGTAAAGTTTGCTACGAAGAGAAATATTTTTAATCATTGTTAAGACATATATTTGACTGATACTCGTATAAACAGTTTAGTATTAATGTATTTTTATTTCAGTTTCACAATCTTTTTAAATATTTAACACCCTCTCGAATCTAATAGTAAAATATAGTGTACATTCTTAACTAAATAAACAAGATCTATACTTTTATGCCACAAATACCAATAAAGGACTTACAATGAAGACTTTGCACTATTATACCTTACAATCACGTTTTTCCTATATATATATATATATATATATATATATATATATATATATATATATATATATATATATATATATATATATATATAGCTACTTATACTTAGAAATGTCTACTTATATTTAGAAACTTCACGATTAACACATTAAACGGAGTACAGACAACTCAAAAGTTGTTCCACTATCGCATACCAATGCTAATAAAAATATTGCAAAACTTTATTTACAACCGTGTTCACATGCAGGCGTTTGAAATCGTGCAACTGCCGGGTCAAGTTCTCCGTTGTAAAGTAGGACTCTCGTGACGTCACTGCTGCATGCATCTGCTAAATATAGCTGCGTTCAAGAGCCCCGCGACCCAGTTCGAATGGGCTATACCCCCGCCCTTGACGGATAAGAACTCTGGTACCAATTTTGGATTGATTGAAAAACAAATAGACAAAAACAACGATAAATATAAAGTGCAATGACTTGGATTCTCAATGCTAAATATCTTTAATCATACACATACAAATATACACGTCATGCACGACTGTCACCGTGGACAAAAAGAACACAATGCCAAAATGCTCTCTTTGAGACATATTTAGCAGACGTTTATTATCTGGACATAAAATGAGAGGAGTCTGGCAAAGTATCATTTATAGGGAGAGGTGGGAGGTGGGGAGCGTCAATGGAAATCTCACGTTATTTAAATTACATTACATAAATTTATTTAAAATCCCTATATAAGTACCGCGTAAGGAGTTGGGGGGTCTCAGTACATATCAATACCTAAACCTCACTAAATACGACAAAGTCTAACCTTTTTTTTTTAAAAAAAAAAGGTCTATTAATGGACATCTTTATTTTTCCCTATACATTCGTGAATCCATTCATACGAGCTCGCTCGTTATGTTTCTTTTCATTTGCCTCTTTTTCCGTAAATTGTGTATTTCGTGTAGGTAAATACATCCGACTGGGGCGAGGCGTATGGTAAATTTACTCAGTCTATTTGATATTGTTCGTCCGTCCTTTATTTATTTATTTGTATTAAGAGAAACATACAGCAATAGTGAGTTTATAGGTAAATATATATAACAACAAAGGTCAGTTATAACAGACGATTAAAACTGTTATTACAAACTGGAGATTCATGTGTAGGTATAATATATTTTATATTACTTACTACCAACTCGCCCCGGTTTCGCACGAGTTCTTTACTAAATGTAAAATAGCCTAACATATGTTACTGGGGGGAAAGGGGTTGTTAGCAATGGAGTTTGACAGCCCCATTGCTCGCAATATGCCCTATTAGGTCGACCTCCACGTGGTTCCCCCTGGAAACCATCGTGAACAATTCTTGTTGAATTCGTCACGATGGGCTAACTGGCCTGCTTCATCCTCACCTATCATCTTTCACTGGTGCCCCGCCGGTGTGTACCGATAGCGCAGGTGGGTTTACCTCTCCATTATCACCCATAAAAAAACATATATTACTGCGAACCATGCTAACCATGATAGTTTCCAGGGAGAACCGCGAGGAGGTCGACTTGGTTGGGTATATTGCTAGCAATGGGATTCTCAGTCACCATTACTAACAATCCCTTTCCCCCGGACTATGGTGTTAGGCCTCTGTACCAATAGAAGATACATATATATATACACATAGAACTCATAGAAAGCAAGTACACCGAGTGTACTGATTACTCTTTATGTTTTACCTCGATTAAGCGTTAACTTAGACTAGCTTAATACAGGCGAGGGGCGGAAGGGGGGGGGGGTGGTAGTTAGTATTGTGAACTATCAGTCCCATTGCTAGCAATATACTCTGTCAAGTCAACATCCATGTGTTCCTCTCCTGGAAACCATCGTGATGAACTCCAAGTGTATTCATCACGATGGGCTAACTGACCTGCCCTCTAGTCACCTATCATCCCTCACTGGTGACCCGCCAGCGTATACTGTTAGCGCAGGTGGTGTCACCGTTCATTGTCATCCATTAAAAAAAAAGCTTAATACAGGAATTGAAGTGCGGTACACCAACTATTACGTTATATTGTACAGTACAAAAGAGTGATATTATATATTTGTGAGAATACCACAAAAATAAGTTGCGAATAATAATAACCGCAAAGTTACCTTTCACTTCTTATGACAGATACTAATGTATTCATAAAAGATAAGAACTTAACTATAATATTTTGATATCTGTCTACCGTAGTTATCTGCAGAATGACTTGGAACAGGTTTATGAACAAAAAAATTGCGTGCAAATAAAATATAAGTATTTTATTTTCAATCAATTTACTTATTGCACTATAAGGGTTTACTTCTTAACTTAACCGGGGCAAAATGTAGTCTATGCCTTTCTCTGTCCTAAGTAGGTAACATGTGTATGCCGAATTTCATAATGATAGATTGAGCTTTTATGGCGCCAAGAGATAGATAAGTTACTTTCACATTTTTATAATGTTATCAAGGAGACATTAATTGAGCATATTATGTTAATTTTTACACTTTATTCGAGCAGTAAGTATTATCTGTTATTTTCACCTTCGTGTATAATATAGTACATATATCTTTTATATGTTTAAGTATATTTGTTATTTTATTTGCGTATTTTATCATATTATTCCTTATCATGATGGCAGTTAGTGACATATTATATTATTGATGTTTATTTCTAAGGACTGTTGCTTGTTGCCCTAAGATACAGGCAGCTCGCTGCCCAATTTAGACGCCAGTCTCCCACAACTATCTCCCACAGCTTCATGTCATTGTTGCCAATTGAATTGTAATATACTTGTGGTAGAAAAATAAAATATACATACATATATGTTCATTTGTGTATATATGTATATCAATTATTAGTAGTACCGCAATCGAGTACTCTAACACTTCCCTAAGGTTAACTGACAGAATGTTTTAAGCATTGAGCATTGTACACATAAATGTACTAACGAATAAAGTCGATTTCACATGCTACTATAACTCTTTGTAGATTTTTACGAGTTTATCTACATCGGATACTGGTGATGACTTACCCTTGTGGATTCTTCAATGGGATATGCTGGTCCATCGTAGTAGCAGTTTGTTTTCTTAAAAGGACTTTCTGTCTGGTTCCAGCAGACACCATGCCATATACAGTGACCACCCGCTGTGGCTGTAGGGATCTGTAAGGTAGAGAAAGAACAAAGAATTAAAAAATATATATTTATACTTTATTGTACACAAAAAATACATTGTTATTATTTATATTAAATGAAGATATACAACAGGCGTGCTTAAATCTGGAAGAGTTCTCTTCTAGCAAACCTTGAGTGGAAAGGAGCATATTAAAAATTCAATTGAAAATTGTTTATTTTTTTATACGAGTACATCTTGGAGAGCTGAAGGCCCACATGATGGCAAGTAACTGTCATAGAATACACTGTCCATGGTGGACACCATGGTAATAACATCTTGGTCCTCATGCATTGCTATTTCTGAGAATCAAGATGTTATGCCTTCACAGCTTGGAATTTCACTGCCATATCCCACTCTTCAGAAGGGAAAAAATGTTAGGACACTTGATACGACGAACTTATGAACATTATAATAGAATGTAAAACAAAAGGAAGAAGGAGTAAAAGAACACCAAGGCATATTGACATCAAGCAGATTAAGGAAAAAGTTAGTGTTGTGTCGTATCAAGAGGTGAAGAGACTCGCAAAAAATAGTAGTGACTGGCAAGAGCTCCACCGACAAGCGCGCAGCTCTTCAATAGAATAATAATAACCCCACTCTTCAGACCCAAACATAATCATGGAAGCACATTGATACGAGCGGTTTTTCTCTATTAGGCTTTTCTATTAAGATCATACACTATTCTATGTGGAGGAAAGGGATTGTTAGCAATGGAGTTTGACAGCCCCATTGCTAGCAATATGCCCTATTACGTTCACCTCCACGTGGTTCCCCCTGGAAACCACCGTGCATAATTCTTGTTGAATTCGTCACGATGGGCTAACTGACCTGCTTCACCCTCACCTATCATCCTTCATTGGTATCCCGCCGGTGTATGCCGATAGCGCGGGTGGAGTAGCCATTGCATTATCACCCATTAAAAAAAAATACACTATTCTATGTAGACATAAGAATGAAGTCAAATAATATATAGTTAAACATATATAAATCAATAGTTGAAACTAAGTAATTTATCTAATCTGATACCAGCTATTCGGTTGCAGAGATTCCTTTGATCGACCAATGACTCACATTATCGGCCTTTGACCATTATTAGAACAACCATTATCAATGTATTACAAACGAAGTTAATCACCACCACTGTGACAACTTGAGCGAGATAAGAGACTTGTCATGTGCGAACTAAACAATAAGGTTATAAACATTTTATTATTATGAATGAATGAATGTGTTCTTTATTGTGCATACTGTACCAGAGGAAGACTTTGTACAAAAGTCGTTTGCTTGGCCACCTCTGTACCATTCGTGTTTCTACCGTGAAGCAGTTGTGTTTGCATGGCTGTGTTTCGGTTTGAAGGGTGGGAATATGGTAGTGAATTTGAAGTGATATGGACAGAGGTGTCCAAGCAAACGACTTTTATACAAAGTCTCCCTCTGTTGATTTTGATGGTGACATTATAAAAAACATTTCTCAATAAGCCACTCTTCTAACGTTTTGTTTAATTACACTAATTAATTATACGATTGCCCAAAAAAGTAATGTAATGTTTTCAGTGATTATGTTTGTATGTAAGGTTTTTTCCACTGTAACTTCTAATCACCTGAACAAATTCATTAGGAATTAACCATAATTGTTTCTAGGAAAGAGCGCAGGGAAATCCACTTGGTAGAGTATACGCGGTTAAGTGAAGGTAATAAAGACGCAAATTGAACGGCAACAAGTGGAGTGAAACTGAAGAGCTAACTATCACAGTCTGTGAGGTGTCTAAGTGGAAAGTTGTATATTCAGCAAAGGAAAAAGATAAACCACAAAACACCCAAAATACTAATACACGAACAATCAACAAATGCATCTATTTTGTCTTACCAACTGCATTTGATTTTGTAAAAATTTAAATTTTCTCCAATTCCATAAATAAATATGATTACATAAAAACAGAATAATTGCATATTCGTATTATCTACACCCAATATCTGATTCAAGGATAAAAATAAAAAAAAAAAACTTGTTATTCAATCTGGAACTTTGGTAATATGCGCATACTCAAACTTTTACATATGAAAGTAACTTGATGACGTCATTCCACGAATATGATATTACTTTAAACCTTATTAACAAAAGCTAAGGTATAAATTTGTATTAAAACAGCAACACAGCGGATGCAAACAAGGTATGTATTTCAATTCAGTCTGGATCAACAAACGTGTTTTACGTAAAACGCAACTTTGTGTCAAAAAAACGCTAGTGAACTGTTTCGTAGAAATTGAAAAAAAGAATTGAATTTTGTACCAGATATTTTGCTCAACTAGCAATTGTTTGCTCCAACAACTAGAGAAATCACAACCATAATATGAGACCGAAATGGGAGAAACCTAAATAATACCAATTAAAGAAAGGATCAAAATTGGATGAAAACATTACAAAAACGTATTATTCGTATGTAAGTTAGTATCTTAGTAACATAAAATACCAATAGATGCCAAAACTGTAATTTTTTGAAATTTCGTCGGTAAAAATTATTACATCAAATTAGTTAAGGTTTTCACGTTAGTTTTGAAAAGTCTAACTTAAAATCTGGTGTTTTGGCTGATATACCTGAAGAAGGTAAAAATAATAATAAATATTAATAATAATAAAAAAAACATTTGATCATCTAGAAGTGGTTTATTTTATTGGATTTCCTACTTCTGTAATCCATGCAGACAAAGTAGCGGGAAAAAAGCTAGTCATAAATAAAAATGTTTAGTGTTTATATATGTTTAATGTAGTGCGTTAATTTCACCATAGATACATAATTATTTAGTATTGTAACTTTAAGTACCATGCTTTTTTTAATAAATTAACTGTTACTTATGTTTAATTAAGATTTTTTATACGACCATCATAATTAATTCTTTATTTTATAGCCATTAATGAAGAAAGCAAATTTATTATTACAGCTTTTTTAATCTAACCCCCTTATTCATAAAAACTAAAACCTCTTTACAAACCTATTTAAACTACAGCACTGTTTTCTAACTTTCTTTCAAATTGGAAATTCAACATAAAAGAAAGAGACAAAACAGTTTAATAGCTAAAATGTGTTTATGAGAGATTTGACGTTTTTATGAATAAAGAGATAAGTTTCAATCCTCCTTTATACGACAGATTAGTTGGATCGCGTGAATGAATCAGTAGTTTATATCCTATCACAATCACGCAGACATGCATATATATGTGTACACGTATATATGTAGACACGCTCGTGAGGTCACGTGTTAATTGTATTTTATGCAGACAGTTATGTATCTTGTAGCATTGAATATCTATGAATAAATATAAATGTCGTTAGATTTCTTTTTTGTGATTATAATCTGAAATCTCAAAAATATAAAAAGTAAATATTCGTAACGTAGTTTATTCGCTGCTAAAAGTTGTGAAATCTCAAGTTTATAATGACCTGGCTCACCTGATGGTAAGTGACTACCGCCGTCCAATAAATATAATGTATATAGCCTATGTTACTCAGGGTGAATGTAGCTTTCTAATGGTGAAAGAATTTTTGAAATCGTCAAAGTAGTTTTTGTGTTTATTTATTATAAACATACATGCACATAAAAATACAAATCTTTCCTCTTTATACTATTAGTATAAATGTAGATCGTCACTATTGAAGTTATTTTTCTTTCGTAGAAAAATCTTAACTTATACGAGTATAGATATAACTAATTATCATCATATCAGCTCTTTACTGTCCACTGCTGTATATAAGCCTTCCCCATAAGGGGAGTTTCGCCAGTAGTTGCCACGTTTGGCAGGCGGATTGACAACCGTAGTAACTCACAAACTTAAAAATATAAACATGAAAAAATAAAACGTACTTAGTACAGATTTTAATTGTTTCTACGGTAGAGGCAAAAGACCACTAGATGGCGCGGATGATAATTTTTAAATCAAATGGAGAAAAATATCCAATGAAGATAAGTCTATGAATGTAGATGACGCAGTATGATTCTTTGTAGCACTCTATAAAAAATATATATTGAGCAATAGACAACGGATAACAGATATCACCAAAATTTATCATTATAGTTTGTCACCACTACATTGTTTTTCTTGTTGAACTCTCAAAATATAATACAGACAAATTCATCTACTCCATTATTCAGCACAGACGCATTGATTTGGGGCACAATAATAATGAAGCATTCGTATCCGATACATTGATATTGACGTTTTATGGACAATTCCCGTTTTAGAAGATCGTAAATGGGAACGGTCAATGAATAAATGTAAACCTAACAAGATATTGGCCATTTGGAATTATCTACCGGTCCGGATACCTTTAACATATTCGATTAAATTTGTATTTCTATATACAAAAAAAAAAAAACGAACGAATGAATGAAACATGAACGACGAGAAGTTTCCTAGATACATTAGAATGAAAATACTTATTTAAATTTAGAACGCGTAATCGTGTGTTTACAAGAAGATTTTAAAGTTCGAATTAAAACGTAATAAGCAGTTTTTAGGGATAAACAAGCTGAAGTGGAAATGGGCAGGTCACATAGCTCGAAGAACCGACAAAACATGGAGAATACAGGTTCTGGATTGGTGACCCTGTGTGAGTAAACGCAGAGTAAATGTGTCAAATGCATTGCAAGGGAGTCAGTGGATGCAGGTGGCTTAGGACTGTTCCTTATGGTAGTGTATAGAGGCCTATGTTCAGTAGTGGACAGGTGATGGTTAAAAAAAAATCATTACAAAATTAATATGAGAATTATTTAACTCCTTTCAGAATCAGCATTGAAATTGCATAATATAGTCAGAAAAAAAAAATACACACGAATTGAGAATCTACAGAGAACCTATTAATTTGCTTAAAAATAACAGTTCCTTAAATAATGCCTCCTGCATATTAAGGTATACTTGGAGAAAACGAACGAATCTTCCGTTCTTCTCATTTTTACGAATATTATAAATATGAAAACAAGTTTATTTATT